AAAGCAAAAACCCCCACCCCCCTCGCTTTTGTAGCTAAGGGGAAGCATGTAGCACACATTTGCTCCAATGGGTGCCCTGGGCATACAGAATGCATGGGGTGGGGAGGGGGAAGAGGAAAGTAATGACCTTTTTATTATCCTCCTTCCCAAATCTCAGTTCCTCTTCCCAGGGGTCTTCCTACATGCAATGCCAATGTAAGGAAGTTGGAACAGAGTATTTGGACTGTATTTTTGTGTGTTGAAAATCAGGCAAAATAAGGTCAGGTTGCCCTAAACAAGCTTCATTTTTGTAGGAACAACTGGTTTGCTTGCAATAGCTTTGCTCCCTTCATATAACTGCAGCAGCTTTGGACCGGAAGGCTACTTAAGTTTGGGTGAGGTGGTGCAGGCTAGGACGGGGTGCTGACCTGGCTCAGCACAGCAGGGGGCAGGGCAGTTGATTTCCCGTGCAGGGAGTGGGCAGGATCGCACTGGAGACCAGGCTGGGCACACTCAGCAGAGTGGATGGTCTGAGGCCGAAGGCGGGCAGGGAGCGGTGTCTGGGAATGGAGTGGGCAGCTGGGATGCAGGGCAGCGGCAGAGCCTGGGGCAGAGCCATGATCCACTCTGCATGCCCCTGCCACGGGCGCCGGTTTTGTGGGTAGGGACATGCACCGTGTGTCTGCAGTGCCCAGAGCAGCTCCGGCGGCCCGGCAGGCTGGGGCAGCTGCAGCCAACGCCCTGCCGTCGGGGCTCGGTAGCCCAGCACTGCCTGGCGGTGGCTGCCGCGTGGGCCGGGCCGGGCCGAACCCGCGGTCCCCGTGCGCATGCGCGCAGGCACCCAAGGCGAGGGTTTCCCCCTGCCCTGCGCTCCGGCTGGCGGGGGGAGGGGAGGGCACAGGGGGCAGCTCAGGTCCCCCCCAACCCCAGTCCCCGCCGCACCTGACTGGCCCCTGGAATCTTCCCTTTCACCACAGAGACACTAGCTCGCCAATCAGCGAGGCCAGAAGCCATCGCCACGGCAACGCGGCGGGCCAATCCAAGCGGACGCTGCCAGCGGGCTCCGCCCCTCTGTGCTCTTCTCCAATAAAGGGCGCCGTCCCCTAACAGGCCTGTCAAACCGGGGTGCGGGGGGGGG